AAAAAAAAAAAAGGGTTGTTTGTCTTTTTTATGATTGACTTGTGAGAGTTCTTTCTATATCCTGGCTACAAGCTGTTTGTCAGGTATAGGTATTGTGAGATTTTCTCCTAGCCCATGGCTTTTCACTTTTTACATGGTGTCTTTCAAAGAGCAGAGGCTTTAAATTTTGATTAAGTCTAATTTATCAGTCTTTTTGTTATGGTCCATGCTTTTTGTGTCTTATCTAAGACATCATCAGCTATGTTATGAAGATTTTTCTCCAGTTTTGTTTAGGAGATGCTATGAGCTGAATTGTGCTCCCCTAACACATATGTTGAAGTCCTAAGCCCCAGTGGCTCAGAATGTGACCTTATTTGGAAATAGGGTCATTGCAGATGTGAATAGCTACGACGAAGTCACACTGGAGTAGGGTGACTCCAATATGACAGGTGTGATTGTCAGAGAAAAGCCATTGGAAGACAGGCACAGTGAGAGCCCTGCGATGACAGGCAGAGACTGGAGAGAGGCACCTGCAACCAAGGGACAGCAGAGATGGCCAGTACAGCGCCAGACGCGAGGAAGAGGCAGGGAGGATTCCGCTGCAGGTTTCAGAAGGAGCACAGCCCTGCTGACACCTTCATCTGGGGCTTCTAGACTCCAGAATTGTGAGACAATAGATTTTTGTTTTTAGATACCCGGTTTGTGGTACTTTGTTATGGCAGCCCTAGGAAATTAACAGAGAAGGCTAATAGTTTTAACTTTGACATTTAGGCTTATGTTCCATTTTGAGTTAATTTTTATGGGTAGCAAGAGGTGAAAGTCATAGTTTACTTTTTTCCCCGTAAGGATATCAAGTTGTTCCAGCTGTATTTATTGAAAAGACTATCTTTTCTTCATTGAAATACCTTGACGGCTTTATGTAGAATTAAATTTGACCATATGTGGGTGGTTTTATTTTTGGCTGCTCCTGTGATACGTATTTGTCCTTATGCCACACACTCTCGTGATTATCATCGCTTTAGAGCTGAGTCTTGAAATCAGGGAACATAATCTTCCAGCTTTGTTCTTTTTGTTCAGAATTATCTTGGCTCTTCTATGTTCTTTTTTTTATTAATAATATAAAATTGAGAATCAGCTTTTTAATGTCTACAAAAAGCCTGCTGGTATTTTGGTTGGGATTACGCTGAATGTATAGATGAATTTGGGGTGAGCTGACGCCTTTGTAACGTGGGGTCCACTGACCCGTACACAGCACGTCTCTGCTAGTTTAGGTCTTCTTTAATTTCTTAATTTCTCTCAGCAATGTTTGTAATTTCATTATACCAGTTTTGCACATATTATTTTATTAGATTTCTCCCT